CTGTTTGTACCTCCCCCCCCCCGACTCATGGACTAATGGGAGTATAAAAACCTTGAATCATATTTGGGAAGTCTTACAAATACTCTGTTCTAATGCATTGTTTGTAGTGATTGTGCCCCTTGTGGCTTTGTAACCAGGGGGCACACGCCCTGTTTGCCCACCCCTAAGGCCAGGCTTGCTTGTCTCTTGCGTCCTCTTGGATTCTTGGATAATAGCCTGAATATATTACAAACACGTGTAATCCCACGCGTGCAAAAGCGTTGACCGTCTCAAAAGTTTCCGCATGTCGCCGCAGTTGAGATCGAGTAATTCCACAAATTGAAGCTTTCATTTTGTTTTTTTTTATTTGCACTAATGTGCAGCTTGTATCGGCACCGAGACCGTATTTAATTCACATAACACATTTGTGATTGACACTTACTATTTTACAAAAGACATCTAAAATAAACGCGGTTTTTTTTCCCATACAAATCACTGTTTTCAAAATACATTTGCCACACAAACGAATGCAGAAACACAGCGACAGTCAAGTGTATAGAAATAGACAGTCTTACGTTCAAAATTCGCGCTCGGCTTTGCACGATGTACAACCGCTTTTCAGAGATAATCATTGCACTATCGTTACGATTAACCTGATCCAATGGAATGTTCAAACAGATTTGCTTGTGTTTTTTTTATGCAAATCAGGTTACATATTCTAACACCTTCTAGTACTGCTAATGCAAGTGGCAATAAAGCTTTGGCAATTTTAAAATGTTAACATGACACTCCTTGAGTGGATTACACACGTGATGACATTCTAAGATGTAAGAGTGATATTATCACAATTTCAAGACTCTACATATCCGACCGTTACATATCCTCGCTGGCCATTTAACTGCCCACGCCCAGTGCTGTATTTGAGCGTGGTGCAACTCTCATTGCTATAGGCAATCACATATCTGACTATTTCACGAATCTGCCCACACGGACTCCAGAGAGTCAGATATGCGGCATTGCGCTGTTTTAACACGACACCGATGTCCTCTTGAGTGCCTTAAACATCACCGACAGGCTCACAGGAAAGCATTAGAAGACGTAAGAGAGATTTTACAATTAATTCAAAAGCACTTGCCTCCAGGTCTCACGCAAACCCCCTTGGACAGGCGTGAAGAACGTTACAGCATATATTTCACTTAGCATTCCAATCATTAGCCGAAGGGAGGAGTGTCTGGCTAGTCAATGCACGCGCACGTCAGGACTCTGAGCGGGCAATGCATTGGCGACGGCCGTGTGCGGGTTGACGTGAATTAAAGCGAGCGCACACCACCAGAGAGAAGGTTCACTATCTGAGAGCGGACCTACTACAAAACAGAATGCATCGCGGGCATTACGAATGTGGATGCTGAAAACACACTTCGCGTGAACAAAACTCCACCGAGTATCACAGTTGGAAGTCTCCGTCAAAAAAGCCACAGCAAGTCACGGTCACGGGACATTGAGACACATTACTCGCAATGCAACGATGCAGAACTCCCACAAGAATCGAATTACCGGGATGTACAAACTCGGCAGGGATAAGGCCTAAAAACCTAACTTTGTTGTTTACCTGCGGCAAACTATTGTGAAAGGTCTATCCGAAGAGATGCAGCTATGTTCACACTGTGCTGAAGCTAATGTTCTGAAATACAGAACCATTTGCCAACGCTGTCAATACAACGCAAGCCAGCCTGCCATCTATTCCCGAGCATAAACTGCCCCTATGAAATCCAATTAGAAATTCCCGCAGTGTCGCGTATAAATTCTTAACCGTGGAGAGGACTCATAAATACAATTCCATTTACCAGGAGCGGCTTGCGACGGCAGGCGTGATGATGTCAGGGGTGGACAGAAACACATCTCTCACTGGGACGGTCAAGCAGCTTGCCTAGAATATTGAAATGCTACGACCACGTACGTTGCCATCCGAACTTATGGGACGCTTAAATAGAATATTCAGAAATGCATAGTGGAGGGTTTTGTTGTTGTTGTTGTTGCCTAGAGGTATACTGAGAAGTGTGTTCATATACAGGGCACGTTCTATGGTCGACGAGTGGATAATAAATGGTACACTGTTTGAACTGAAAAATAAACTGTGCCTTCAAACAGTTGCAGCAGTTTGAACATTCTGAGCGATGTTTTTTTTTAACTCAAAGACACAGTCTATCAAAAGCGTTAAAAGGTAGCACCATGGTTAGCATAAAAAAAAATCATATTTGTTTAACCAGTGACCCTACTTGCGGCTGATTGTCATGATTGTGCTGCACACAGCCCTCCGATGTGCGTCTGTCGGATCCTCTCGCGAAGCTCCTAAAGAAGCCCCCAGAACTTGCAGCAAAACGTCGGTCATCATGCAGAACAACAAGCGGCACGACCCATTAGACTCAACGGAGAGCTATTTTATGAGCGACGCTTAGCGTTGCGTTCCGAGCCCGTCAGCTTCCCCAGCATGTGCATGGGTCACGGAGGACCATATGGACTGACTGTTCCATTTCATCAATCTGCAGCGTCTCGTTCCAAGCCCCTGTGTGCATTTGGCTTATTTGTCAAGCACCATGTGCTCAAACTGCTGTCATAATACTTTACTTGTTGTGTGCCAGACCTTGATATTTACAGATTGGTTGAGCAATTACGCACTGGAGCGAGCCATTCAAAAATATATATATAATGCAAAACGTGAAATGTGTTTTGTTTTTTTGGAATGTTCATCATCAGTAGTAAACACACGTTTAAATGTACAGATGTTTTTGACGTTCTAAGTCAGATATAACATCCAGTGTACACTATATTACACACTTCTATTAGTCTGAATTATAATTAAGGCCATACATATCCAAAATATTAGGTCCACATACAGAACATTTTCAAAGAGGATTGTTACCACCGTCCTAACGCAAATACGATTATGCTAAACAAAACGCTGCCCAATATATCACTTTGTGATGTACGAAGTTTTGGCATGACATTGACATATCACATGAGTTGTGGTGATGATCATCGTTGTGTGAGTTATTTTGGTACAACGATGACAGCCCACCAGAAACACACCGATAAGAGGGTGATGATGATGATCCCTGGCCCTGAGAAAGATGCATCGCCCTCTCGATAAAAAAAAATCGCACACCTTGATGACTATTGAAGTGCTCAAGTCGGCTAAAGTTGAGAACTTTGTCAATTCAACTTATAATGCCGTGAGCATTCACAATCTGTTCAGTCGGAGCATAGGGTGAGTTGGTCAGCAGATACGCCACTGTGCGGGTTTTCGCGGTCGTGCTGTGTGGCTCTCTCGTGCGTCATCGGGCTGTGCCGCATGTTGATCCCGGCACGCGGAGTGAAACGTCGGGCATTGTGCAGAACAGCATGCGGTACGGACCTGACAATTTCATCGGAGAGCTAAAGAGCAGGATGTCTTACCTATCTGCCAGCTGTTGACACTGTTATGTTATGCATCTCGTGGACCATTCAATGGATGTGCCAGCATTTTATCATTGCACAAACGGTGGCTGTGAACTCCAGAAAAAAATAAAAACTCGCAGAAATCCAACCTCCCCAGCCAAGTGCATGGCCCACTAAAACCTTGCCAACAGGTGAACTGTTCGGCGAAATGCCACTCTCTGGTAGCGAGGCATTTAACGATGGATCGATTTTTAATTTTGATTTAAAGCTTTCGTGACTGCAGGGATTCAAATTCTTGGTTCTTTCGGTAAAGTCAATCAAATAATAAAAATAAAACATAATAAAATAAAATTCTCACGACGTTTCGGCCACAACACAAGTAGCCTTCCTCAGGTGAAGAAACAGAACTGTCGGAAAGATAGCGCTCTAATGAACACTGCTAAGCTTGGCAGCGTCTTTTAAGCTGGGTGGGAGGAGCAGAGCGCCTTGACAAAGGAGTTTACATATCAACAGAAGAATTTAGCATTGAAGTAGCTGTGTTAATGTGATAGATTATCAGCATGTTCAAGTCAGAAATTAGCATGTAACTGGGAGATTAGCACCACGGAAAGCGACGAGCTTTGTTCAGACGGACGAGTCAATCTATGTTCGGACTTTAACATCCTGCTAATCCAACATATTAACACAGATATTTCAATGCTAAATTCTCTCCCCCCTCCTCCGTTCCGAACATAGATGGACTCGTCCATCTGAACAAAGCTCGTCGCTTTCCGTGGTGCTAATCTCCCAGTTACATGCTAATTTCTGACTTTAACATCCTGTTAATCCAACACATTAACACAGCTACTTCAATGCTAAATTCTTCTGTTGATATGTAAACTCCTTTGTCAAGGCGCTCTGCTCCTCCCACCCAGCTTAAAAGACGCTGCCATGCTTGGCAGTGTTCACTAAATCGCTGTCTTCCCGACAGTTCTGTTTCTTCACCTGAGGAAGGCTACTTGTGTTGTGGCCGAAACGTCGTGAAAATTTTATTTTATTATGTTTTATTTTTATTATTTTATTTCCATTCTACGTGACTTTACCTAAAGAACCAAGAACACAGTTACTTTATGTTAATAGCTCAGCTTATTGGAGAATATATTGAGTACATTGATTATATTGATGTAGTTTATATTTAGTTCTTTCACATCGGTTTATTGTATGATAGTTGGGTAGTTGCAGTTATTTAGCGTCAATATACTAAATGCCTCTGTTGATATGTAATCTCTGACTTTAGCATAGCTACTTCCGTGACCAGTTACATGCTAATCCCTCACACTAACATCATGCTAATCTCCCGGTTACATGCTAATTTCTGACTTTAACGTCCTGCTAATCTATCACATTAACACAGCTACTTCAATGCTAAATTCTTCTGTTGATATGTAAACTCCTTTGTCAAGGCGCTCTGCTCCTCCCACCCAGCTTAAAAGATGCTGCCAAGCTTAGCAGTGTTCATTGGAGCGCTGTCTTTCCGACAGTTCTGTTTCTTCACCTGAGGAAGGCTACTTGTGTTGCGGCCGAAACGTCGTGAGAATTTTATAAAATTATGTCTCATTATTTAATTATTTCCCCTTCTACGTCACTTTACCGAAAGAACCAATAAGATGAATCCCTGCAGTCACGAAAGCTTTAAATCGAAAGATACATGCATGCATACATACAAACATGCGCGTGACAACCTGTTATTCACGATTGATGCGTGATTTTGCTTGTGCTATATTTAGAATACTGAAGCAAACAGAATTGCACAAATGAGACGGAACAATCTAGAAGCAAATGCAAGCGAGATGGAAAATTGTGAGAAACGAAACAATCACAATTGTTCGATTCGCTGATGGTGGTGGGGGGGGGGGGGGTTATCGTTATATGCCTCTCAGTAATTATACTTTCTCAATTAATCCTTGCTCACTAATTGGCTACCTGGTCATTTTTGTTTACATGACCTGTCCCAGCATTATCGTCTGCAGGGCAACGAAAGTTAACTCGCGATTATCGGTGGGCAGATTATCCGGTTTGCAAAAGGACAGTGCTCATTTGTAACTTTTAAACGCGCGCTGTTTTTATTGTCTGCTCCTAGCCCGTCGAGGGGTCGGTTACTGAGTGCCCATGTGCCCACATAAAGGTTGGAAAGTCAACTGATTGCTTTTACAAAACAAATATTAACAGATGGCATTGTATGAGTAGGTAAACAACACATTATTGTATAGTCTAGTGACATTTTTTTGTAATTGCCCGTGTTTTTACTTTATCCGGGGCCATCCCTCCCCACCCATAACTTCGGATAATTGAGAGTTTCACTGAATGCTCTCACCGATGGGCTCAGTTGCCCACACGCTACTTGAGTGACCTTTGCAGCTCGCCGTTGGGGTTGTTACCCGCTGGGCTCTTGGCAGTCACGGCAGCTGTGCATGTCCTCGGTGAACTTCTCCACCTGGATGGTGAGGACGCTGAAGGAGAAACGCGTCTGGAGGACGACCGTGGCTTCTCTGACCACTTCTTCTCCCTTCCCGATGTCGTCTGCGCACACACACACAAAATATAGCGACAGGCCAATGAATTAGTCTAGTGGCAAGTTCAGTTCAACATGGGAGTAAAGTTCACCACTGAAGTCCAGTTTACCATGGCCGATGAGAGTCCAGTTGACCATGTGAGTCCAGTTGACTATGGGAGTCTAGTTGACCATGGGATACCAGTTGACCATGGGAGTCCAATTTACCATGGGAGTCCAGCTTACCATGAGAGTCCAGTTGACTATGGGAGTCCAGTTTACCATGGGATACCAGTTCACAAAGGGCAGGGGTCAGCAACCTGCAGCTCTGGAGCTGCATGCGGCTCTTTAAGGACTGTTTCGTGACATTATTTATTCAGGACCACCGTCTCGTATTCACGTGCATTGCGGCTCTTGAAATATTTGGGTGTTTTTTTACCGAATTCGACACAGAATGCTCTATTTGTTATTTTGGTTGCCCACCCCTGGATGAGATGGATGGACAGCCAATAGATTCTTTTTGCAATTTATTGCACTATTATTTTGCTCAGAGTGGGATTTTGGGCAGCATTAAACCACCCCCAACCACTGCCCACCACTACCCAAACCAAGCCCAGCCCTGTGACTGTGGAGGGAGCAGTGGGGGGGGGGGGGGCACCTACCCAAAAGGAGGCGGGGCCTATATGAGAAGGTGGCGTGGCCTAATGCGCAGATCCTCTGGAGGGAAGATATGAAGAGGGGGCCTCATTAGGCAGGCGTGGGGCCTGAAGAGCGAGGGTCGGGCTCTAAGTAGGAATGGGCGGGCCCTAATGAGGTTGCATTTCTCTGTTGGGTGAAGGCAGTAATCGTATAATCAAATATGTGCAGCGGTTGGCAAACCTTTAGTGCCGCAGATGCGGGCCAACGACCGATGGGTACAGATTAAAGGCAGTAACCCGTGATCGACTGTAAATGGATGGCCGGTGATGGGACGGAGCACTCGAAATGTGCCAGGCAAGGGGAGGATCACAACCTGATGGTGTTAAAGTTCAAACACTGGACGGGATGGAAGCTGTCTCGGTTGACAGATGCAGCGATGGGCGAGAGAGAAGTGGAGAGGCCACCACGAGGAGATGTATCGGTGAAGGAAAGGGTCACGCCCCAGCGGCCCAAATAGTCCAAGGGGTTTGGAATAAGCTTAAAGGCTGCTCAAAAGTAAAATCAGCATCGTGGGAAAAATACAAATGAAAATGTCATTAAGGAAAAAAATACATTGTAGTATTTCGAGGGAAAAAAAGGATGGGCGTGATTGTTCCTTCTCTGTATAAAAATAATAATTGACATCGCAGGTCATTACATCCCAAGATGATTTGTGTGAACCTAACTTGGGCCTTTGATGAAAATCACCAGGAATGCATCCCGATCTCATCAGCCCTTACACTGAAAGCGGGGTCGATCTTGCATTTATTGTGCTTCGATGGAGGATCATTGTGCATAAGACAGGTGCTGTTTTGTAGGTTGCTGCAGGGCACTTTTATCATCAGAAGACAGTGCAGCAAAAACACAATTCTTGTTCTTTGCTCCAATGGCGATGCTCCCCGCCTTCAACAACCCGCAGTGACCAGTGTGGTGAAGTATGCCCAAACACCCACATACCCTGCGTGGCGTGCGGAAGCACTCATCCAGCAGTGCATTGACACAAGGATTGTGAATGTAAATGTACAAACACGTTGCCTTTGTATGTTAAACTTCTTTCCGACCATACGTAGCCAACCGTGCTAATCGAAGGTGTAGGGGAAGGACAACTGAGTTTTCAATCTAGGTGATTTAAAATTGCATAGCTCCAGTGGCTTCCTAACATCGGCAGCAAGAGCGTTCCAGACGGCCGCAGAATCGCATCTGAAAGTGCCGGGCGATGCAGTGACCGCCGCCTTTGTTCGATGGCTGAACCAAAAACCGCTGTTGCTTTGAAGACGATCGGAATTAACCATTTTACAATTGACGAGTGTCACCAGCGACGTGTGGACTTTGAAGCCAATGGCTCCGACACAGTGTGTAATGTTACGGGCCATAGGCTATTCAGATTTAAAAAAAACAGTCATGCCTAAATCTTGAGTAGGTAAAATCTGAAAGAAAAAAAATAAACAGGGTTGTGAACAGACGCAGGGGGATTTGAGAAACTTGCACCATTGTCTGAACTGCCACGCTAGGACCAGGAGGACTAATCGAACCGGCGATCTCTGGATTGCAAGTCCAGTGCGCTCACCATTGCAACATATAAACAAAACGTGAATTTCTCCAGACATTTCTATATCTCTGGTAACCAGATGTCTACAAAAAAATATTCCACGTGGATACCACAAATGCCCCCCAAAAAAAACCGAGTAAAAAATTTAGTGGCAATAGTTCAGCACAAAGTCCATGGGGTTCATTCATGACGAGGCTGGGCAATTGGTTGCATTTTACAGTACCCACGCCTTTAAAGTATGGCACACTGCAACAACAAAATCAATATCCTGCTCACGTACGCAGCAGCACGAACCCTCGCGTGCCAGCATGGGCACGGGTTGTTTATTTGTTTATTTATCCGCAAACGGTTTCTCGTTGGAGCGCAGTGGCTTCCCAGGTTTATAAAACCCCTGGGGGGGGGGGGGACTCACCGACACAGACGTGAGCGCAGATGGCGCAGTGGTTGATGGTCAGGGACCAGAGGTGCACATCGTGCACAGAGCACACGTGGGGCAATGCAAGCAGAGCCTCCTGCACGTCGGTGAACTTCACAGCCCTTGGTGCACCTGCAAGGCATTGCACCAATGCACACAAATCACCGCTGTGTGTGTGCTTTTTTGTTGCTGTGATTCAGCAACTGAGTCTTGAGAGTCTGCCGTTGTCTGCAAGAAGGAATGCTTTCCGTGTGGGCCCACATACGTTGCTAACCAGGAACATTTCCCAATCGCACACAGCAGTAACGAAGTCGAAATTCAGTTGCAACCTGCACATTTTCACACGGAATTTTACTGCAGGTTATATTTTGTACAACGACAATTTAAAATAAATCTTTAAATTTTAATCCCCAGTGTCGCCTATAAGCATCTCTGCATACCTATAAAAGCCACGGGCCCTAATTAAATTATGTGACCATTTAGAACCTAGTGTGTCCCTCGGTTCTAAGTGTCTTCCCAGTGTCCTGATTATGTGCTCTTTATCGGGATCACGATTATGAACGAGCCGCTACCCATGCGAGGCAACAGCCATGAAATGATTTAAGGATTCATCTCCCCGGGGTTGCAATGAGTTGGCATTATTCGAGGCTCACAATTTTGTCTTAAAAAAAAAAATCGATCCTTTTCTGCGTCGTTTCTGCCATATCGCTTGTATTGTTTCGTCGTTTTATTTTCAGTCTCATGGGTATAGTTTTCTTTTCGGATCCCTTAAGCTAACGTTAGCATAACATTTTGCATATAAGTCATAGCTCCATGTCAAGCCTCTGCTAGGTGAAGGTCTCTCCCGTTGTCATGCCATTTGGGGGGGGGGGGGGGTTGTTTGAACATACTTCACCACCCTGGTCAGTGCGGGTCAGGAAAGTGTGCGGGACGGTGGGGGGGGGGGGGGCAAAGCAGCCAGACCCGGTTAAGATGTAACTTGTCGCTGGACTTAGCCGTGGCCAAGATTCGAACTCAGGTGAGCGGGTTTATCGCACAGTGCGCTCACCATTGCGTCGCAACTCAACATTCACGTAGAATTTACAGAAGATGTAAATACCAAATTGTCAAATTAACAATTCGATATATGTATTACGAGCACAATCATTCATTTAAATCAATGAATTGATGCATCGTTACTTGACTACTGGGCAATACGTTGCCGTTGCATAGCATGCACGGTGACGAAGAATGGATGTGTGTTGTTCGTTCCCAGTCATGTGGTGTTCATTAACGGGAAAGTAGGTGAATATATGTTTGTAAATAGCTCGCAGTTTTGCACCATTTGGGGCAAAGCAGAGATTTATTACGTTCATGCTGCAAGTACAATGAATTGAATGAAGCCAGTCATGTGTGTAATGAAGCTACTGGTCAGACAGCCAGAGAGAGATTAACAAACGGTCCGCCCACATTGGCCAGATGAACCACGGCATGAGGTGACCAAGAAATAAAGTGGTAATATAAATTAGTCGTAATGCAGGTTTTTTTTGGGGTTCGCAAAAATAAACAATTGGGCATGGTACAATCATGATCACACACAAACACGTAGGCTTTCGCGACCAATATCATCCATAAGAGGTTTTTTTTTTATTTTGGGTTATATAAATGTGTCCTTAAACCCGCCACCACGCGACACAGCCAACTAGTAAGGGTTGTCACGTAAACAGAACGTGGCCAATTCGTCACGAGTACAGCACACCGGTGTAATGGAGAGCCAAACCACAACAATTCACAATCTGAGTACGACGTTTCGCCAGTAGTTACAACTAGCTTCATCAGGCGGACAGCCAGATTTGTGGCGAAGTCCAGCTGTTGATGGATGATATTGGTCACGAAAGCCTACTACGTGTTAAACTGCTCGTAATACAACAATACACCCACACTATCTGTTGGTCGGGTATAGCGATAAAGTAAAATTACAATTGGGTGAGGCAAATAAAGTTGCCAAGGAAAGAGTTAAACCTGGAAACATATTGTTGTGTATAGCAGAACCTCAATAAAATTGCCCAAATCAAATGTCAGATGTGGGACTCTGTTACCTTGGGGAATAATTGACTGTAGTGGTGTCAATAGGAAATAAAATAAACGTTACATAGGGGAAATGTCCAAAGTGGCAACATTTAAAATATGGTTTTACTTTTTTTTTAAATAACTGTGACATTTAAAAATGCAACTTATTCGGTAATATGCATTAAATATGCGCATTGCAATTGCTAATTAACAGATTAAAATGCATAATATGATTATCTTATTAGTAAAATAGCGGATTTATTTATTTACTTATCCCATAAATGGAAACATATTTTTACGTAAGTTTCAATGTGTCCAGAAAGGATAAAAAATATACATACACCTAATCTCTGCCCAGGTTACGTTCTTGAATATAGCCACAATCGGTAAATCTGCAGACTCTTTAGTTCGTGGCTTTATCATGGGTACCATGCAAATCGTAATTCTATTGCAGTCTTCATTTTACAACATCATTGATAATAATGCAGGGGGGGAGGGGTATTGCACGTCGAACATCGATGCCTTCAGTTTCAATTAATTCATGACCTGAAACAGCGGGGATTGGAAGTATCCCTTATACCCTTTAGTGATTCAGATCCCGTAATAGGGTATTACATGGCCCAATGAGCACATGTGAATTACGCTCCCGCAGCAGCAGCTGGATAGCCTATATAGCACAGTAAAGCTTGACAGGCCATGAAGCACTTCATTAAATTGCAGCAGTTCAGATGAATATTTATTTTTCTAATTTATGCTCGAATGAAACTGGAATGCAGAATGGGAATTGATAAATAAAATACGCGCAAGGTGATGTTCTCCATAACGCATTGTGCACAAACTTTAAAACAGATGTTTGTTATTGGGTGCCTACATTCTCATACAAGAGTACCTGCACAATCACTTAAAATCATTCCACTGTATGTTGATTAACTGTGAATAATCCAACCAATAATGGGTACGGCATATTATTAGATTAACACGATCCATTGCAGTTTATATGACTACATTAACCGCCCTCTGGTCTTCACACCTTATAGGCTTGCAGTGATGACATCACATTTACTCGTCGATTTATTACCTAAACAGGAAGACTTATTCATATTTCTGGACAAATCGCCTGATGATGCTGGTTGTTGTAATCACCAGCGAAAGGTCGTACTCGGATTGTGAATGTTGTCTAATTTACTCTCCAACACACCGGTGGGCTGAAGCAGTAACTAATTGGCACATTTTGTTTATGAGGCAAACCTTATTAATTGGCTGCGTCGGGTGGTGACGAGTTTAGCGACACATTTATAATCACGCGACTTTTCCCAGAAATAACCTTTCTTATTGAGGAAAACATAAATAATTCATCATAAAACCCAAATAATAAACCAAGATTTCCCATGTGCTTATTCTAATCCCCTTGACACGCTCTACTTCTTCCCTCTCATCTCACTCGATCCCACTCAACCCACTCACCACTCCAGCAACAAAGACTTTCTGCGGTTTCCCAGTCAACCTTCATACAGAGGGAGGTCACTCGTTCTCCTCTGTTGCCTCCACTGTCTGGAACTCCCTTCCTCCAGTCATCTGCGCTGTCAACCCCCTGCCTCTGATCAATTCAAACTCAAGACTGCCTATGACTGCCTATGCCGCCGTGTCTACGAAACAAATTATTCTACTGTTCCTGTACAGTGCTTTACGAAACGGTCACATGTAAATGGAATATAAATCCACATTAATTTGTGATTGAATTGAATCTAAAAAATTCTTCACGATGGAATTTGTCCAATTCCCCCCACCACCCCCCCCCATTTCATGGCTTTACACCTTTGACTGATGTTAAGTGTCTGAACAAAAATAAATCTTTTGTCTTTGCTGGAAGTTCACGTCTTAAATATAGTGGGGTTGACGGTGCGTTTCAAAGTAATTTGTATTTACACTCTAAGAATCTGATGAGTTGCGAAGCTCTTTGTCACAGAATACCTGCTGTGCAGACAACTATTTAAAACTATGTTTATTTTACTCTTTGTTTCTTTCGGTGAAGTCACGTAGAAAGAAAATAAATTAAATAATATAATGCGACGTTTCGATTGCTACACAAGCAATCGTCATCAGGTAGCACTAAATTTGAGAGAGAGACAAAACACAGACACGGAGGCACACAGACAGACACCCAAGCAGAGAGAGACAACACAGAGACACACAGAGAGAGACACACAACATAGACACACAGAGACCCAATGCCTCTGTGTCGAGGCCTTAAATAGAGAGAGAGAGTCCACTGAGCCTTATACAATGTAGTTCTATTTCAGATGCGACCTGGCCACAAATGATAGCTCAACGAGGTGGCTTATCATGTGGAATGTTTATGTATACATATATAAACGCATGTTTCTAAATGTGGAGGGGAAAACTGGAGGGCCCGGAGTAAAGTCCATGCGACCACGGGGGAGATAAAACCACGCAAACTCCAAATACACAGGCATCGGGGTCGGGGATTGAACCCACGACCTCCTGTACACCATGCAAGGTAGTTAACATCTCCTAGTCACCGTTGCTGGTGACGCAGCATGCGTGCAGTCTGCACCATGAGCACCCACGACCGCCTGTTGTGTACCGGGTGAGGTCGTTAACATCTCGCAGTGTGCGTGGAGCCTGCCCACCTTCCATGAGCACGAGGAGGACGTCTCGCAAGATGGTGACCGTCGTGAAGAGGACAAAGAATGAGAACACAAAGGTGCATATGGGATCCGCAATCTTGTATTCAGGCTGGAGAGCAAAGAACAGATGGCATAGATGGGTTAACGTACCATGCAATTATTTCCGTGCAATTTTACGGACATTTTAAATACATTAACAATGTAAATGTATTTTTTAATATATATTCGGTAAAAACGAGCGATTTAAATGTATATGTCAATGATTGTTTAATTTTTCTATCTGTCTAGTAAGCATACCCCAGTAAACATGTAACGTTCACCCAACGTTCGCAAATGTATTACGGAAAAATACGTACGGAAAGGACGTATAAACACGTCTCATAGGTAAGTATTTTTCATTATTTTATTTTAACCACACCATCAGCATCACCTCCAAGACACGCATGGCGTAGGGAGGTCCTTATCCAACAGTGGACAGCCTAAGGGCTGTGTGCACGTTGAACTTCTTTCACACCTTACGTAGCCAACCGCGCTAATCAGAGGTTTGCGGGGGGGGGCGGGGGGGGGTAGGGGAAGGACAACAAAACTAAACGCAAAAAGCAGTTCGAACAAAAAAAGAGTTTCCCATCTCGGGCCGTGCACCTCCAGCCGCTGTCATTGCACCCACGAGAGAAACCGCGTCCCCGCGCGGACGCACCTCGGCGTAAATGACGCACGCGGCGATGAGCACGCCGATGCTCTGCAGGAGGTCCCCGACGACGTGGATGAAGGCGGCGCGGACGCTGGGGTTCGCCTGCGGGCCCGACACGGGACCCTCGGCCATCGTCAGCGGTTTGGGCTCCGTGGCGTCGGCGGTCACTCCCCCGTGACTGTGCAGGTGGTTCGCCTGGTAGAGCGTGAAACTCATTCTGTGCAACACCACCACCACCACCACCCCCCATTCGGCAGAAGGAATGTAAAAAATTCAAATCAGTCATCGGCCAATGCGTTGTTCCTATGCAGTGGAGACTTGACTGAGCCAACGATACTCTTTGGTTCTTTCGGTAGAGTCACGTAGGTATAGAATAAAATAAATCACGACGTTTCGGGTGCATCAGTCTGCCTCAGCAGCAGACCATGCTCTCCCACCTGATGACGGACGTTTGTGTTGCGCCCGAAACGTCGTGATTTATTTTATTGTACACCTACGTGACTTTACCGAAAGAATCAAAGAGTATGGATTCCTGCAGTCACGATAGCTTCAAATCAAGATTGAGCCAACGATGATTGAGACTAGGCTTTAAAGAAAGCTGTCTCTTGTGCGGACCAATCAGTTTCAAAGACGATGCATATATTACAAGAGCGTGTGTTTTTTTGTTTGCATGTTCACCACAAGTATGTGTGTGGTTAATTCAGACATGATTCCTTGCGAAAGATTTCAGTTTGGTGTTTTTAACATCTTAACACCTGTTTCATTGCCAGAAATGGTAAAACCTATTCTTATACCAACGATTATTTTTGGGGTCGAACGTTTACAGGCACTTACCGTGTGCGTTTTGTGTTTGTGAAACGTTTTGTTGGGGAAATTTGGATTTTTAAAATCGACAAGTCACTGTATGGATCTACCTGGTGTTTCACTGCACTTAACCTCGCCTGTGAGTGCAGGTTGCTCAAGGGTGGGTCTAGGACTGATTCAGATTCTCATTAGCAACCGAAGTTGACCCCTGCCAGAAACTGAACTCAGGGGAATCGGGATCATTTCACAGTGCGATGATCACCGCACTGCCACTCCACTGCAAATAATATCGTACATTTTTTGGTTATTTAAACACATTATTTGTTGACAGTGCTGTTGACAATGCTGCACAATTACAGATGACAAAAAGCTCAACATATTTGTCAGTAACATTGCTCTTAAGAGGAAAATACATCATCGGCGACGCTTCAGGAAATGGCCCTTCTCCCTAGCACTTTAAAAATATGGCCCTCCTATAAAGAAGGGCCAATGCCCAAAACATCACCGACTACGCAATGTCCTATGTTATTATACAGATCCCCAATGTAACATTTCCTCAACGTTTGTTGAACTATTGGTGACATTAACTAAACACAGTACTAACCAGTACGGTATTTGCAGTGTCTGCGTAGATTCCATTTCAACATCGCGTTTGTAGGTCTTTCATTCCTTGCCGTGGTGCAAGGAATGAAAAGGAGGGGCCTGGTGCAAGGAATGAAAAGGGGGGACCTGGTGCAAGGAAGGAAAAGGGGGGGCCTGGTGCAAGGAACGAAAAGGGGGGTCCCTGTCCACATATTGGACCTCTGTGAAAAAGAGCTTCCTCCAGTATAAATAAAGATTCTGATTCGTATTCAATTCCCACCCCACCCTCACTTCTTAGCCCAGAAGTTGGGCACCCTCTGATACATGGGTTTCAGTGCAGTTGCACCGCCTGCACAATCTATAGTCATGCCACTGCCTTGCAAATAGAAGGGGATCTCCCATTGCTGCCGTATCCAGCTATTCCATTGGTAGGCTGTCACACAGCAACAGCAGCAGCAGAGGCCATGGATAAGAACATCCACAGCGGTTTAGTTATCGAAGTCAAGAAGGACCGTTTGTCAACCACAACTGGCAATCATGGGAGCCAATGGGGTCTGATCAAATCTCGCATTTTCACTTACATGACGTTTACAGCGATGGCACAGCCAGACGTGACGAGCATGGCTGTCCCCTCGATCTCGAAGTCTTTGTAGATGAGCCTCAGGGAGGCCAGGTACACCAGGACTCCCGTCACCACCCAGATTGTCAGCACCGACAGCAGGGCTCCAAGGATCTCTGGCATTCCAAAGCACACAGGCGGACTCGGGGAATTGAACTCTGGACATACAAAAGGGTTTACTTTTTTTTAGGAAAATGAATGCGACACAAAATAAACTGCCATGCTCATCTTTTATTTTGTGTTACTGATTCTGTTCTCGGTATCGAACGATGAGACCGATTGTCAATTAGAACCCCAACGCAGTGCGGTACATCATTTAAGTTCACCTGCCGTGTGTAGAAACGTTTCTCTGCAGCAGGATGTGTAGAAAAGTACAGGGCCCCCAGTGTGGCTAGATCAGGCCACTTGAAGAGATCTCAAAAGTAGTTCTGTGACACCACATTTCTAAAGGGCGATTCTCTAACGCGCAAAATGACGCTGTAGTTCCAGAGATGATGTTTTGTTCATTTCATGATATTATATCAGTAGCACAGCCTGGACTAAATTGTGGAAAAATATTTGTGTTTTTATATAAAGGTATTAATCATAATAAAGGTGTTTTTGGGTTAGAGTGTATAAATGTGTCGTTAAGCCGCCACCACCCAACACAGCCAATTGGTAAGGTTTGTGACGTAAAAAACAACGTTTCGCTGGTAATTACATCCAGCATTATCGAGCGTTTTTGCTCGAATTTGATGTAATAACCAGCGAAACCTCGTACTCAGATGGTAAATGTTGCTGATTTACTCTCCAACACACCGGTGGGCTGAAGTAGTAACTAATTGGCACGTTTCATTTAGGTGACAAACCTGACTGGTTGGCTTCTCGGGTGGCGGTGGGATAACAACACATTTACACTGACGCGATGTCACCCAAAAAAAAACCTTCATTATGAATAATAATATTGGTCGCGAAAGCCTACGTGTCAAACGATATGTGTATTCATGTGCTGTATTTGATCAACACAGGACAAAAAAAGCCTTCAGTACCAGCCCTGTACCATCCGAAGTTCATGGTCTTGGTGGGGGGGCGTGACGACACCCACAGTGAGAAGAGGCTGATGGAGAAGCTGGCAAAGTCGGCAAAGAGGTGCGCCGCGTCCGTCATGATGGCCAAGCTGTGTGCCAAGAAGCCCCCTGAAGCACAGCACACGCCCGTCCTTGAGCCCAACGTTGGCTCATCAGTGCCGCGCAGGGTGGGATATGCCGACAATTATTTTCTTGATTTTTTTTTGCCCATTACGGATTACAAATATTTATGATAGCCAAGCGAGCGCCGCCATAGTGGCTCTCTACGCGAACAGATATTGTTAAATACGGGGTGCGTGCCGTAGTATGTTGGAAAGAGAATGCTGTATCTCTTTTGGGGTTGGGGAAATAAAACTGACGTGAAATATGCACGGAATATGAAAATATTTGCAAGTGGAAAAAATATAATCCAGCGGTGGAACTGCTAAACCAGCAGTTGCACTGCCAGGTTATATTTTTTTCCGCCTTAGTACGACCGCTTGTGTTGCGATCGAAACGTCGTGATTGATTTTATTTTACACCTACGTGACTTTACCCAAAGAACCCAAGAGTATGGATTCCTGCAGTCACGAAAGCTTCAAAACAAGATTAGCAAGTGTGTCGATGAAACAGACCTATGTGGGGAGCAAAAAGTCAACACGTTGTGACTCAATCTCGAATTGAAGCTTTCGTGACTGCAGAAATTACTATACTCATTGGTTCTTTCGGTAAAGTCACGTATGTAGAAATAAAATAAAATTGTAATGAATCACAAATAAAATAAAATGTTGTGACCTCTGCTTGTCCGCCACTGCCACCAACGCAGGATCACCAAATAATCTGAACCAAGTAATTTGTTAAATCTGATAAGTTGTTCAAATCATCAATTAACTTCTTACGTAGCCGACAGCATGTGTGTTTCATAAGCATGTTAGATGGTGTCCTTTTTTCAGGGATTTGTTGAGCGAACTGAAGATTATGTACTTTGATTGAATCTTTATTCATACAGTACTGGCAATAGAGCAACGTATTAAAACATTACATTAAAATGTAAAATGCAATTATAACTTTATGGGAACACAATAATGAAATAATCGTCATATTATTCAATTTAAAGCTTTCGTGACTGCAGGGATTCATATTCTTGCTGTGATTTTCACACCTGATGATTGCTTGTGTTGCAATCCAAACGTCGTGAGAATTTTATTGTTTAATTTGTATTATTTTATTATTTCCCTTCTACGTGACTTTACCGAAAGAACCAAGAATATGAATCGCCATATTGTATCGTGAAAAAAATATATCGTGGCAACGTTCCTGTACACAACCAGTTTTGGATTCCTTCAGAAAAATAGCCATGGGCATATAGATAATTATACATCATGGCAAGTTTTCACAATGTGCAACAAGATGTTCGATTACATTTCATAAGGGGGATTATTTAGCACTTTTGCTATCACCCATTTTATCTGGATGTTACCTTCGGGCGCATTACTATGCTGTGCAAACCTACGCTTTCAAAGACATCCACTATTTTGCACTATTGGGTGCGTCGTTTCTCAAACTCCAGTCCTGACAGCTCACCATATTGCAGATAGTTTTGATTACCAATATTTTACATTTACATGCAAATCAAGCTACTACATGTTTCACACACGTGATCGGTTTTTTTAATGTTGGAAAGCTGCACCACAAGAGGACTGGCATTTGAGAAACACAGCGTTCGTCCATTCTTCTTGTGTTTCCATTTCAATTCATATAACTACTGTAATATGATGCACAGTAAGAGTTGCACTTTAATGTCCACATTGTGGTTGAAGTGAAATGCATTTCAGCAGTTAAATCCCTCAATGTGCAAATCAAAACGATACGATGTATCCCACGCAAGGTCGTATTATAGATCGCATTAAATTTAACACCCAAGTCAGACCAAAGCAGCATTTATGGAGCAGAATAAGTGTGTGTGTAAATTCTGAAGGACAGCATGGCTTGTGATCGAAAGCGGGTCTTCTCCAACTCCAGTCTTTGCACCTCACCTCGCCTCATTTATAAATCAATGTATACTCGCTATGCATCACAGCCTCATGTATATTCAATACAGAACTTTTCAGAATGTGATCGAGGGGCCTGAATGCTGAAAAGTCTGCAGCAACGCACGGGGGGACGCACGCGTGGAATTCCAGCGAGACAGAAATAGGAGCACGTGGATCAGAATAATATAGAATATTAAGAAGAGTGGGCTAGGCTTCACCTCCCTTAAAAATTCCACATTCCCGATTGTTGCCACTGCGTGAGTAGGGGGGGGGGGGCAGTGAGCCCAATCAACAGTGCCGGACTAAGCTAGTGCGGGGCCTGTAGCATATGTTATAAAGGGGCCCTAAAAACACATTAATATTAAAAAAAAATTTTACTTGCACAGTAAAGTCATTGTATTTTTTCATTTGCTATACAACCAGATAATATGACAAATCACTAACCTTAAACACCCAGTCGTTCATAAAAGTTGAAGGCAGTATAGTACTATAGTAATAGAGCAAGTGCAGAATCACTGAACCGGAATTGATAGCTTGAAAGCATTTAGTGCGGGGCCCTTGAAAGTGCAGGGCCCGTAGCTACTACATATGTTGCTACTTTTGCTACTCGGGATAATTAATCCGGCACTGCCAATCACCCCTCCCTCTCCCCTGCCGCGTGGGCACTTGGCGTCGGATTTCTCGTCTTCCCCTCCGTCTTTTGCGCTTTGTACCCAGGCTCTTGTTTAAAAAGATATATATAGTGGACGAGAGAAGAACACGTCACGAGTAGGGATGATGGCCAGTGGGCAAGAATAATTATGCAGAGTGGCAACCAAAGGTAGGAAACACACCCAAGAAGACATTCACCACGGAGATGGCGCAATTGGTGCTTTGCTAGACCATGAAAGATGGTGACGGCACGGGGAGGATAACAGGGGTAGACTTTGTGGCGGTGTGAGTTCTTTTTCACAGATGTCTACTGGACGTCTGTGAAAAAGAGCTTTATAGCTCATCGGATTCCTCCAGTCTAACTAAATATTCTCATTCTAAATATATTCTGAGCGGCAGGAGCATTCTTCACAAACAACAATTCATGGGTTCACCGAATAAGGATCAACTACGGCACACTCCAAACGATGTGGCAGACTTCGCAGGCTGAGCAAAAAAAAAATGCCAGAATGTGCGATGAATATTTCCGCATGAGGCGTTTCAGCAGCGGGACGTGACGAGCGAGAGAGGCCCGCGGCTCCGCTCTGACGCTCTCACCGAATATCTCCCCGGCCATGAATAGGAGGCAGATCACGGCGGCGATGCAGAGTTTCCTGCGTGCGTGTCTGCGCTCTCCCTCCGAGCGGTCCGTGTTGCGGGCCCCCCGCGCGTGGCAATAATGGCGGCCCCCAAACTCGTCCCCATCACCGCCGCCTGCGCTCAGCGTCTCCAGGTGCAGTCCCTCCAAGCCCGGGTCCGATGCAGCTCGCCCCGACGGTTTGCTCCTGAACGCACCGTTGAGGCCGCTCATTGGTGCTGGGCTGCAGGCGACACCCGGTGCACAGTCGTCTTCACTCGAAAATTAATGAATAAACATTTATTATCAAAACTAATACGTGTGTTTTTTTTTATTATCAGGTAAGGCCCACTGAGCTATGTGACTCTTTTTCAGAAGCGACCTCGCTATCACAAATGATAGCTCAACCAAGTCGCTTATCATGGGGAAATGTGTTGCAGCCAAATTCTCGAAAAGGCGTGATTCTAAATGTGGAGGGAAAAACCGGAGGACCCGGAGAAAAATCCACACGGCCACGGGGAGAACATGCAAATTCCAAACATACAGGCGTCAGGGTCGGGATCGAACCCACGACCTTCTGCATACCAGGCATGGCGAGGTAGTTAACACCTTGCCACCGAGGCATTATGGATAATATTGGTCGCGAAAGCCTTCGTGCCAAACCGGCTGCGTATGTCGTTACACGGTGCGGATCGTCGCCGTGAGCAGCATCGTTTTTGTTCTCATGCCCTTTAAATTATCAATTCGTCTTAATGACCTCCCGCTTGATTGTGACCTCAACAAAGATGGCATCAACGACTGCAATTCGTGTTGACCACTAAGTGCCACTGCTTCAGCGCGCGGATCACGCTCGGCTTTTCAAACAACTTCCCTCGCTTCTCTGCGCTTGCCGGTTAGCCAACCGAAGGACACGCGTGCACAGTGAATTATTGCCATTTCACATCGAGCGTCAGCCCCGCTACATCGGCCACCAGTGAAACTTTACCCGTGCCATGCAAATGTGAAGCTTGCGCAATGCAGCGATCGTCGTCAGCACCGTCATTTTGTTCTTCCGCCCTTTAAACCACAGCTGAATTTCAATGCGTGTTACGCTCTGCTTATTGCTAATGACCAAATTTTACAAGTGCAATTTATCCTTTCATTGCATCATTTGAAAACATTGCTATAATTTTTAATTATTTACTTGCTTCCCTGTAATGTTACACATTTTGGCAAACCCCTGATTTTGGCTGGGCAACCTGTGAGAAAGAGCTTCATAGCTCTTTAGGTTGTTCCCGCTAAAATTAAATATCTGCCTATCTAACGAGGTGACATCAATTATTGAAATGTATGCAGCTCATTAAGTGCCATGGCCAGTGCTCGATCGTGCTGGGCTTTTCAGACAACTTTCCTCGTCTATACCCCATGTCCACAATTCCGAGTTCACCAATCAAAGCGTGTGCAAGTAAATCATTGCAATTTCACATTCAGCTTCAGACAAGTGAAAACCAGCAGACAGCTAAATACGCCCTATACTTTGTAAATATGAATTGCTTACACTGCATCATCAATCAAGACGTGTGCAGTAAATTATTGCCATTACTGAAATCTGAAACTTCGTATAGGCTTTGTGTGATTTTATTTCTACAAAATATGTTTTTAAAACACAACCAAGGATGTGTCATTAATCACATTTATGCTGCTCAGGAAGCACCACATTTTATCTTCAAATCAAAACATTCAAAAATGTGCTGGATTTATAATTTATTTTCAAATATACATTATATATTGTATTTGTATGTGACCAAATACTGGAATGACCTTAATTATCATAAGTTTATGTTTCATACGGTATTTTAATCCATACGTGTGCATATAATTTAAAGCATGAGACGAAAATGCTTAAATAGCTATAATTCCTACAGACTTAATCAATGTAAATGTTAACACATTACCATGTCCATAGGCAAGCAACAATAACTACAAAGGTAAAATTATCACTTTTACATTTGTATGGACAATGCATTTAAAGAGAGGGGATGGAGCTGATTAAAGTTTCTAGCCAACTTTTTCATGGAGAAATTTGAGACTGACGCCATCCAGACTGCCATTCTACGCCCAACCTTATGGAAGAGGTACGTGGATGACACTTTTGTCATCTGGCCACATGGCCGGCCTTCTCTAGACCAATTCTTCGACCACATCAATTCCATACACCCAGCCATCAGATTTACCATGGAAGTCGAAAAAGATGGCAAGCCTCCTTTTTTGGATGTCCTAATAAAAAAGAGACCTGATGGTTCAATGAGCCACTCTGTCTACAGGAAAACTACCCATACAGGATGCTTACCTGAAACCGGATTCCCACCACCATCCATCCCAGAAGAATTCCCTCATCAAGACTCTGCACCATAGAGCCCAATGCATATCCGACCAGGAACACATAGCCAGTGAACTCAAGCACGTACACCAAGATCTTAAGGCTAATGGTTACTCCGACTACACAATCCGCAAAGCTATCACTCCAACCATGAAGAAGGACCCTCTTGAGGAGCCTTTCAAAACCATCACTTTACCCTACATTGCGGGGATCACAAAAAGATCTCCAAAATCTTGAATAAACACAAAATCCAGGCCCGATTCAACAAATTACATAAAATCCGTGATCTGGTTCCATCTGTAAAAGATGTGATTCCGGACATACATTACCCTGGCATCTACAGACTAAGTTGCCTCTGTGGTAGTAGTTACATTGGAGAAGCCAAACGACATATCTCGGACCGCATTCGTGAACACAAAGCAGACCTAAAACACGGTAGGACCAACACCTCGGCCGTGGCAGATCACTGTTATAATTCAGTAGGCTCACATGACATTGACTTCGCCAAGACAGAGGTTCTTTGCAAGCCATCTGGCTACCATGAGAGATTCGTTCATGAGGCTATCCATATATACAAACACAAAGACAATTTCAACCGAAAAAATTGATTTTGGCTTAGCAATCGTTGGAAGGATTTGATAAACCATTTCGGGTCTTAATTGATTGTTCACGATTACGGTGGCTTTCAGACCGCATCCATCATTTTCGTCTCCCCCTCCTTTTTTCCGAACATAAATCGCTATCCGTGGTGTTAACGTTAAAAATAACCGCCACTTTTTTCAATTTTTTTTGCGGTGGTTTTCAACCTGATTATGATTGCTTGTGTTGCAGTCGAAACGTCGTGAGAATTGTATTTTTTATATTTGTATTATTTTATTGTTTCCCTTCTACGTGACTTTACCGAAAGAACCAAGAATATGAATCCCTGCAGTCACGAAAGCTTTAAATAAAAAAAAACTGATTAAAGTTGTTTAATCTTATTGTGCTGCATTTAACATCATGGGGTTTTGCCATTCCAGCAATCCACACACCACACCGTTAGCAATGGAATCTTGTATTTCACCCTTACGATGCCATGATTCCACAAAAGGTGATACTATCTCCGTGCACAATTTAACTTTAGATCTGCAGAGTTGTGCGTTGAGTGGCACATGTACAGACCCGCTGCTAAATTATATCGACAGTGCCAACTTAAAGCGAGTGGTTGCATTTAATGGTGCTGCACATAGGTAAATTGCAATTTGCAGATATCAACTGCGTGCAGAATATATATACTCTATAAGGATCTATATCTGTGGGGGAGCAGTGATGCAGTGGTTAGCGCACTGCGCTACGAATCTGGAAACTCTAACTAGATATCACCCGCAGTGACCAGCGTGGTGAAGTATAGTCAAACACCTCGCATGATCGACAAGACGCAGGAAGAATCCTTTATCTAGCAGTGCCTTCACAAGGGCTGTGAATTTATAGGATCCTATACCCGTGACATCATCTCTCCCTCTCCCATCGGGCAAGCAACACGCCCTCCAAATTGCCGCTCATCTATTCCACATTTATCGAACGAGCGGTGTAGCAGCCAATACGGTGGTGATGGTGTTGTCATTGTTGTTGTAAAAAATCGCTGCGCAAACATAAATAATGAGCATGAACCCATATCCAATGAATGGTTCGCAAAAAAAAACCATTCACTTATAAACATGCATTGCCGGGTGCTGCTGTGATGCAGTGGTCAACGCCCTACGCTACGAACCCAGCGAGACCTCAGTTGGATTACCACCCACGGCTACACTCATATCTGAACCGGTTCTGGTCTCCGCCCCCACTTCACCACCAGGCACTGACCAGCATGGCGAGGTAGGGTCAAATCATTTCCATGACCGAAACATCGTCGGGAGACTTTCATCCAGCAGTGGCTTGACAAAGAGCTGTAAATTATGCTTTTCATATACAGATTATTTATATGTTACTGTGTTCACCCGGGGTCGAGCAAGTTAATGTTAAATATGCAAAGCTATAAACACTTAAACGCCCGGGAGCTGTCCAAGGTACCCTGCATATTTAAATGAAAGACTTGGATAAGAGACTGCACGAGAAGGATCGGTGTACAGCGAGTATAATAGATATTATACAGGCATTCGTTAATCCACTGCTGGATGAAACATTCCCCATGGGGGTTGGTTGAACATACTTCAGCCACTCTGGTCAGTACGAGTTGGTGAAGGAGGAGGATAGGGGGGATGGGGCCACCCAAACCGCTTCCGATGCTACTCGCCACTGATGTTAGCTGTGGCCAGGAATCGAACTCTCGCTCGTGGGGTCTATTTCGCAGTGCAATTAGCGCAGTGAAATAGCCACTGCGCGCCACTGCTCCACCAATACTACGAATATTGAAACGGGAGGGCGCCATCCACGATCGTACACCCTGCATAGTCATGGCATGGGCACGGAGAAAGCACCCGCTGATAGCGAGGAGGGGAAAAGAAGGCAGATTGCGAGTAATGCATTTATTAAATGTGCGTCAGCGTGTCACGGTGGTGTGACAGTTACCACGTGTCTCACAGCAAAGAGTACCTGAGTTCGATTACTGACTCGGGCACTACCGTTCTGTGTGGAGTCTGTGCGTCCCCCCCCCCACGCCGCTCTGTCTTGCATTGGCTTCCTTCGGGTTCCCGGATTACTTCTGCGTAGCTTAAAACAAACTGTAATTGGTATTTGGGCAAATATCTTAATGCAACAACCCTGCTGAGAAAAAAAAACCAGAGTCTTAAGACGCAGTGTGGTTTTTTTTCCTGGGTGAATAGGTAATCGCTATGTACGTGTGTCTTCTGAACTTCTTTCGCACCATACACAGCCAACCGTGCTAATCCAAGGTGCGGGGAAACGGC